GGTGTAGATATGTTGTGCTATGTGTATTGTGGTTGTCTACCAAAAATCAACCCAAATGGTTGGTTAAATTGTGAGTTACAAGTAAAGAAGCAAAACTGGAACAAGCTCCAGAATTTTCTGACCAGCAACATTTGTGTAGCTATAACATTTTGTTCGTTGATCAAAATTGAGTGCCATTTGAGGCATTTGAAAGTAGACTCTTAGAGCTTTAAAATGGTACCAAGCTCATTTTCTATTTCGTCCCGAACGATTCGTGGCGAGTTTTGAAAGTTGGCTGTCTGTTTATTACTGTTCATCCGAGACTGCCCAGAAAATCCATTTTGTTTCTTGATTTTGAACCGCTTATGTCTGGATTTTGGAAATGATTTCTTCTACACAAATATAGCCTTGTAAACCTAGTTTCTAAATCCACCAGCCATTTTCAATTTCACTGAGAATCGAGTGAGATACGGCCTAATTAGCGAAGGGCATTAAATCTGGAAAATAGGCCAACAGTCCAGGAATTTTAGCGAACTTCAACTTTTTATTTCTTGAGCTAGGAACATCGGAATCGAGTTCCGTTTTTTTCATTTGAAACCTGGATTGGAACTTTACATGCATATGAAAGTTCAAAGGTTGGTTTTGCTTATATGATTTTTACCGAAATTCCAAAATTATTTGGAAAACTTGGACTGTTTTGACCTATATTCAATGAATAGTAAGGTTTCTTAGAGAAATTGACTTGTGTCTGATTTGATTCCTGGAAAGTGACCTTCTACAAAGTTGTTATGCTTCGAATGAAGTTTTTGACGGTGTAAAATTTTCCATTTTTAGACTTTCCGAACTTCTGGACTGATATTTCCAAGAATGACTCGAAAAGTGAAAATTTTCAAATTGGACCTAAATGTTCTTTTAAGGGCCTAGATTACATTTTTACAACTCTTAGAGCATTTCAAACCTATTTTCATGGTGAACTTGAGTTCACCTATCACTTGAGACCTCATTTGAAAGTCGGTTCCTTATGAATTGAAATACTTTGGAAATTTGAATTTTGGAGTCAAAATTGACTATTTCTTTTCTTTACACGAATACTGTATGGCCTGGAATTTGAGATACAATGCATTATTGCATACTTTCAGGATCTCAAGAGGATTTCAAGGGATCTCCCGGCGAAGCGTCTTAGAGCTAATTTCTCAAACTTTGACTTTTGATACTTGATGAGTATCAAGTGCATGTGAAGTGTTTAAATGAAATGATTCTTGTACTTGCTAGTTAATGAGGCTAGGGCGTACTTTATCGCCATTGTCCTCTCTTTCATGAAATTGCTTGCTTGATAAGTGATACGTGTTACATGTGAATGCAAATGAAAGTGTTTTTCGTGAGCATTGAGCGGCAGAATGTATCATGCCCTTTTAGGGTAGGAGGTACCGCTCATCCCGTCTCAATGCTATGACCAAATCTTGTCGATTGGAGCTTCGTCTCATCGACCTAAAAGTGAATGGGAGGGGACGCCCCAACCCATTGGCTAGCCTTGTAACTCGAGCCGGCAAGGGTTTGGTCGAGAAACTTGGTGAACCTTGGGAAGTGTCATAGTTTGATCCAAATAAGGGGTCTTGCTAGGTATACTTGTTAAGTGATACCACCTACATGCTTGTTTGGTTACGGATCCAAGAGGGTGTCATGGTGGCTGGAGGTAGTAAGTGGAGTTCTACATGGATAACTGTGAAAGTTGACGGAGGGTCAACTATCTGAGCTTGGATCGCGCGTGGATTAGCTCCTGAGAGCTCCCGTATCCTTTTATTGTGATTAAATTCCCTACTTGCTTAATGTTTCGCAGTTACTTGTTACTCGAGTTATTGCTTTATATTGTGTCTTTGCTCGCATGCTTGCATGTTTTCCCTTGGCCTCACTGAGCATTAACTCACCCCAATTTGTTTTCCTTAACAGGTTTGGAAGTGGAAGTTCTGAGGCTTAATTAGTGACCCCCAAAAATAATTTTTCCCCACAGGGCTCGAGGCCAAAGAAAGCGCTTGTATTGATTTATTAGTGCCTGAAGGGATATCTCATATATAATTTGAATTCGATTCACTTGATAAGTATTTGATGTAATTATTTGAGAACTGAGGACTTTTGTCTTATTCGGGAAATGATTCCCTTACTTGAGATTTGTAATGTATCTTATCTCGTTCTAAGTTTGAAAAATGTTATTTCGTTTATTCTTGAGGTTGTACCCTATGTTATTGGATGTGAGTGATGTATTTTATTTGAGGACTGTAGTGAGTCCCGGCGAGAGCTGGGCAGGCGGTCCGCCGAGCCCTTTGGTTTGCCTTAGGGGGAGGTGGGGCTGTCACAGTTGGTATCAGAGTCTTGGCTCTGGATCTTGTAGTGTTTTCTAGGCTTAAAGTTTTTGTAGTGTATCTTAGGCTTAAAGTTTTGGATGCCTAACTGTGGGATTAATTTGCATATTATGTGAACTGGAGGATCTATTGTATCCTAGGGGTTAAAGAAATTGGTTATTAGAGAGTTACTTACTTGGGACTTGTAGAAATAAAAATTGAGGAATTAGGTGATGTTATATTGAAGGAAAATATGGGCTGAGGGTTAGTAGTGAAAGATTGGACGAATTTGAATTATTATTATACTTGTAAGTGTGCAAAGAATTGAGACAATTATTAGTACTGGCTATAGAGGATAAGAGACCAGGATTTGATGGTCAAACTCCATGTATGGTGATTTTGAACCAAGATAAAAGAGTTTCAAAGGAATAAAATGCATTTTCCCACCCATTTACCTCCTAGAGAATTTCTGCTTTGAAATTCTAATGAAAAACTAGGATGTACTAGGTTTATTTTCAAACGATGATTGGAAATAATATATATATACTTTAAGTATGTATAATTTTCCGATTTTGGTAAATATGTGAATTTTACTTGAATTTCAATCTGAAAATTTATGAATAACTGATGAGTTTGTTGAATTTTGTATATGATGGGCTGATACAAGGTTGAAATTTTCTAAACTAAGTTTTCCCCCTTGATTGTATACTGGTGTATTCTCACACTTGAATTTGTCTATGCTTTACACAAAAAAAAAAAAAAATCTTGAGTTTTCGGAAGAATGGCGAACTTATGTTTTTATAATGTAAATCTTGAACTTGATAAGATTTTTGGTTACTTTAAATACTCTTCTTATGTTTTAAAATTCTTGATTTTCCAGAAGAGTGAGCCTATCTTTAGGTGTACGGGCTGAGGGAACTTTGAGTTGAATTTCGAATGGATAACCTTTGGTTTTAGCTTGTGTTATGGTTTGATTGGATCTAATTTCGTAAAGGCATGTGATTTGTTTGAAATTAGTGATATTTGGATCCTTTGGTTTAACTATGGGCTTAGGAAGGGTGGTGCACGCCGTGAGACCTTTTGTACCCTGCTTGCATATACTTCTATATTTTGTGGCACTTAAGTGCCTATATACAGTATTTGACATATTGGGCTTGTTTTGTGACTTCTTAATTCATGCTATAACTTTTGATACATGTAAAGAAGCATGTTTTGATTCTAAATATTTTTGCAACTTGTATATGCATTAAGTTCTTTTATACTTAATTATTCCTTTTCTTGCGCTTATAGACTTCTATTAAGTATGGTAGCAGGAATGGGAAAAAGGGGTCGTGGCCTAGGGCTTAGACAACCCCGTACTCATGAGAAAAAATTGATGGATAGTCTTATATAATTTAATGAGACCCTAGTACTGAATATGAATCGAGAATAAACCAGAAGATTAGATCTACCAGTGTATAATGGATTAACCTAGTTGGGAACTTAGTGAGATTTTCCTGTGCGAAATTTTAATAGTTGCTTTATACGTATATTATGAGTGGTCCTATGGCCATCTTTCAACTTTTATGAAGTTTGAACTCCGAAAGTATTTCGTTGGTTTGGTGAGATGACTTGAACTCATTACCTATTTGTTCTACTTGAACAAAAGCGCTTTCAATTTTACTTGACTATTACTATATCCAGATTCACTTGTTTTACTTTTTCACAAAATTTATATATATATATATATATATATATATATATATATATATGTGTGTGTGTGTATACACATTTTGAACTCGTTTGAGAATCGAAATCAGATAGAGTTCAAGTTTGAATCTTTTCTTAGGAACATGAATGCCTATTTGTTATGAATCAGAGATTAGAAATGATCAGGCTTTATGTACTAGTAGAGTTAGCTCTTGGTTTGGATATAAAAGGGTGGTAAAGGTGTTAGATCACAGGTTATGCGAATATGAACCTACATGTCTATTTATCTTTCTTAAAGGTATTTTCTAAAATATGCGCTTTACCCGAACATAGATTTAACTCGAAACTTTGAGGAAAAGTGTTGGAACACCCTCCATGTATATGTTATGATTATTATGTATATGTTTTAAAATTCATGCATTAAGTTGCATGATTAATCTTCTTAAATCTATTTGAGAGATTTGAAATATGTATTGATGATTGTGGTTAAACATTATTTGAAATCTCTTACTAAGAAAATTTAGTTTTGGATCATGAAGAAAATTTGTATCTTTAACTCTAATTTTGAAAATTTTGAATTGCATTTTGCCACAGATACATTCAAAATACATCAAAAGTCTCGACTTTATCTTGTAGGTCGTGATTGGTTTGATTTAGACAAACTTTTGAGGAAAAGGATTCTGGTCCTACTAGTGCGTAACAGTTTTTAGTCAGGGTTTGGAACTTGTTTCATATGGCGTATAATTTATGGTTTCACTACATACGTGAGTAAGACCTTAGAATGGAAGTACATATCATTATATCAAGGGGTATTACTTTATTCGTGTGTGTGGATTTTCTTACGTATCAAATTCGTGGAGAGGTAAGAGTAAATATACCTGGATGACTTAGATGCGTGAGAATTTATAGGTTGTGGATAGTTAAGTTTTAAATTTTGATTTGCTACTCATTTAGATGCTTTGAGTTGTTGATAGGCTGACAGTCAGGATTATACAAATGGATGAAATGAAAAGTTTGGAAGAGATGCGTATAGAAATAGAAGTTCTTCGCAAGAAGTTGGAATTCCAGACTAAATTGGTTGAATTCTGGGAAGAACGATGCAAACAAGAGTTTGCAGAGAAGATGGAATTATGGAACAAGAACTTGGAAATGAAAAAGAAATACGAAGGAGTATTGGAGGAACTTCAGGAAAAAAAAAACTCTAGGGGATACGACCCACTATTCAAGTTTCACCTCAGTATATTTCTAGCAACCAAGTTAAGGGTAGTGAAGGAAACTCCCATAATGAAAAAAGGGAAACGTAAAGAGAGATGTGAACATGAATTTGTTGTGGAGCAGAGAGAAAAGAAGAAAAAGAAAAAGGAGAATTCTCAAGCTAATCAGGCCGTAACTTGTAGAGTAATTTGTGGATACTGTGGCAAGTTTAATCACACTGAAATTATGGGATGAAGGAAACAAGGAAATGCTTGCTATGCGGGAGTCCTGAGCATTAAGTTTTAAATTGCCCGAGGAACTCCTCAGCAGCTCGTTAAGTCTGCTGCAAAACAGTCGAGTGTTAGAGGGAGTGGTTAATACTAATGGCTATGAGAAGAACCAAAGTATTAGAAGCTGCCCCCCATTCACTTTTGTTGCTTAAAGACAGGGATTATGATTATAACCTAGCCTATACTGAGACTTTTGAAGGTTGTAATCTTTTGTGTAAGAGATGAAATCTTTTGTTGCTTTGAACATGGATGACTTAGCATGTTTTGCTACAATCTTGTTTATTCCCTTTTTCTTTTGAAATGATTTGATAAACTTATCCTAACTTGATGAAACTATTTGTGAGAACCCGTAAATTCCTCTTAATAATTTTCCTAGGGTTTATCCCCTTTAATGGCTTGTTTTCTACACTTTCTGTATCCGGAAAATTTTCTAGATTATTTTTACGAGTAAATATAGTTTTTCTAGTATCGAATAGATTTTGAGAAATTAAGAACGTATATCGGACGTGGGACCCACTAGTGCGAAAAGTTCGGAAAAATTCGGCCAATTAGGTTAAATTCCGGATACTGTGTAAAATTTATCGGGTGTTAAGAGATAAGTAGAGAGTGAGATTGGATTGATGTGAGAGGAAAAAGAAAGATAAGATTGCATTTATGAAGGTGACAAGTGTCACCACTACATTGGTTTTGACTTAAGAGTTACTATTCATTTTTTTTACTTTTGACCCATTTGAGTTAAATATCTTCAAAAATCACTAAAAATTCACCATTTCTTCTCCTCATATGGCCGGCTCTCTCTCTCCAAAAGGAAGCAAGAAACTCTTCAAGTTTTAGCTCCAATCTTGCTCAAGGTGAACCATCCAACCATTTGATCTTGCAATTACTCCATAAAATCCCTTTAGTTAGTGATAGTGAGTGATTTGGTGAGGCTTTCTTGGAGAGCTAAGGTGTCCTACTACTTCCTCTCTCTTGTTTTCTTGGTAAGTGATGCTCAAACTTCCTCCTACACCTAATGATGCTTAAGTGATGCTTAGTAGTGATTAAAGTGCTGAAATTTCTGGTTTTTATCTTGGTTTGAAGTGATTTGGTGAAGTTTTTCTATTTTTGAGGAATTTTCTGGTGTAATATGAATGTGATGTTGTGGTCATCTATGATGGTTGATGATGAGGGGGAATGACTCTAGTAGATGTGAATTAGTGATAATTGCAATCAATTTTGGGTTTGGATTGAAATGAGAAAAGTTAGGGTTGATAACCCCCAATTCTGTCCGGTTTTGGATCATAGGGTTAGAGGCCGAATTAGACTTTTCTCAAAACATGAAAGTTGTAGGTATTGATGAGTTTGAAGTGCCTGCAAAATTTCAGGGCATTTGGAGTAGTGTAGAGTGAGTTATGCCGTTTTTACTGTTGCTGTTCTGGGTTGATCAGAATGTGCGAACTGCGCTTGTAATCGTCTGTTTTGACTGGAATTGCTTTGGATTTGGATGTTGGTGTCTTCTGATGAAATGTAGATGAATGTCTTATCTACCATATGCCTTTGGAATCAATGCATTTGGACCTGTATAGACCGAGTTGGACTGATTACAGTTTTGTGTGATTTGTAAACCTGCAATTACGGTTCAGGTTGTGGTATTCTGCATTTTCGACCTAGTTGTGCTAGGATTTGGACTGAGTGGCCTTCTACATTGTTGTAGCCCTGTTTCATAGCTTCAAGATGGTGGGTCTTACACCCTCATCCGATAAGCGTAGCGCATTTTGTACCATTACCGCAAAAGTATGACGAAAACTGTTTTTTTTGTTAAGGCCTAGACTAATGCCATTTCTTAATTTCTGGTTACCTATGATGCTTATTCATGCAGATAAACCCTATTGGGGGTTATGATTGGCATGGCTTTTGACTCGTTATCGAGTCTCATTGTACTTGCTTACATGTTTTAAGACTTACTCTTATTCCGGTCATTTCCTAGCTAACTTTTGTACTTGTACTGCTTTGAGCCTAGTGAACGGCTTTTGGTAAATGAGATGACTTTTGTGTGAAATGTTGGGACTGATTTGAGGATATAATGAAGCCTTAATGGCTGGAAAAGTAAGAAATTTAGGGGAGGTACTGCCCGATTTTCTAGGCCGTTTGGTTCTTTAAGTTGGATTTGCCTTTTGATGGAAATGAAGGGCTTTTGGGTTGTTGACCCTAGGTCTTCATGTTACCTTTTCGTTTCTAAGAAAATCATGTTTTGCACCCTTGCATTAGTAACTATTTGGCGAGGCATACGACGTGTAGTCGAGCCTCACTTGTGCATTCCGTTTACTCGATTTTGGATATGAAACCTTCAATTGGTTTATTTTGATTATTTTAGGGTTTCTTGGCGATTAAGGCCAATCTGAAGTAAAAACTTTTGAAGTTGAGCCGGTGAGTGTACCACTCCCCTCCATTGCTATTTAACTTGATTTCTGCTCTGCAATCTGTTTATTTGTTCGAGACGAGGGTGTACTTTATCACACTTGTTCTCTAGTCTGTTCATATGCCAATTTACTATGCAAAATTTGAATCTGTTATCTGTGTCTGCATCTGTTCGGATTTCTATGACCTATGAGCTCAATCCTCTGGCTAAGTTATTCGAGTCGGGCCGGCAAGGGCCTGGACGATTAGATAACGAACCACGGTAGTCTGTTCGGGGATTTTTGGGTATTGAGACCCTTGATTCCGGTATACTCGAGTATTACCATTTTGTTCGTTTGAGGTGAGCGGGCCCGGTAAAGGGGTGTTTGGTGGACGGAATTCGGTGATAAGAGGGGTCTACGGACGCATTGGTTCTATATACGTTGACGGAGAGTCAACCGGTTTGGATCAAGTATTGCGCTGGAAATTTGGCTCCTGAGAGCCACCCGTATCCTTCTAATTTGAATCATTGGTTCCTTTGCTTTACATCTGACATGTGTATCTGATTTGTTAAATGTAAAATGCCATGATTTTAATGCTATCTGTTTGGTACCTCATTGAGCGCAAGCTCACCCCTTTCCGTTCCTTTTGTTTTCCTTACAGGAAAATAAACCCTTTTGGTCTGGATTTGACAAATGGCTGCCAAATTGAGCTAGTTGAACATATCTTTTGTATAGCTCATGTATTAAAACCCTAAGTGTACTTTTGGGGCGTTTTCTCTTTTGATTTGGCAAACCGTGTGTATATATTAACTTTTGAAAACTTTTGTATGTCATTTTGATTTGTAATCGCTAACGTTCAGATGTGAATGTTTGCGTGCTCTTTCGGTTGGGTTCTGACGGGTCGGTTACTATCATGGCCGACTCCGGATTTCATGTTTCTTATTTTGGGTTATTTTTCCATTTTGACTTGTTTACGCTCGTTTGTAAGTTCCGGATCGCAATAGATAGTTCTAGTCTGCATCGTTAGTCCTGGCGAGAGCTGGGCAGGCAGCCCGCTAACCCCTTTGGTTCGCCTTAGGGAAAAGTGGGGCTATTACACTATTATGGTCTTTTATAACAAATGAAAGTTTACTTTGCATTTAATCAATTTCATGACTTATTCGTATATCTAAATTTTGTTACGCTTATAACCTTGTGAGAAGGCCATGTCTATAATATCGAGGCTGGAATCAAGTGGGTATTAGGAATAAATATCTTTTACCTTGCATAAATGAATCATTTGAGTATCTACAAGAGACAGTAGTACTTTCCAAGTTAGATTTAATACAGGACTACAACTAATTGAGGATTCTAGAGAAAGATGTGATTAAGGCTAGTTCATCAGAAAAGTAAGCACTTTGAAATTCAATTATGCCATTGGGAGTAATGAATACACCAGTAGCATTAATGGATTTGGGTCTTTAAGTCGTTTGGGTTAAAAATTGGCAGTAATACTCATAAATGACTTGGGACTACAATAAGATATTATTGAATTTAAGGTTTCATTTAGTACCTCGATATCTGCATACATGTATACGGAACCGGATATGATTTTTGAAGTTATGGATTCTTGAGGGCTCTTACTACCTATTTTGAAAGATTATTAGGGTTAAGGTCCAGTAAGACAAAACTTGTGTGCTAATAAGATCTTATCGAATTTGATCTGCGAGATATTTAAAGTTCATTGCGTATACCAATTTAAAGGGCTATTACATCATTTGTTCTTGAATTGACAAATTTCTTAAGGCAATTGAATCTGTGAACCGCATGAAGGAATTGTTATCTCACTCGTTGTGAACGGATTAAGAATACAAGACTTACGTGATATTTAATGCGGAATAAGTATTACAATTCGTAAGAGTGGGATGCAAAAGTGACATCTGGAGTTTTTGAGTAAATGTATGAATTTCGAGGACGAAATTCTCTTAAGGGGGAGAGGATGTGAGGACCCATAATTTTATTGTTTCAAAATATTGTTAAATTGGTCATTTTACAAATATTTCGTACTCGAGTTACCCAAAAAAAAATTACTAAAGTATATGAATTTCTCGAAAATAAATTTTACCGATTGGTTCTTTACGCGCATATTATTTTAATGCCCAAATTTATTCAAGATGAATTGCTTATCGTGTTTTTTTTTATTGTTATATATATATATACTTGGATTATCATATTTTAGAGTTTTAGAATCGAATAAGTTGAATTTCCAAGTTCAAACGAGAAAACCCTTAAGTTTGACCTTTATACGCCCCCGTGCCGAAAAGGGCCCGACAGGCACATTAATTTGATTAATTGGAGATTTTAAGAACATGATATTAGACTACTAGTAATGTACTAGGGAAATTACCTCAGAGGTTTAGTGCACAAAAGTTGCAAACGAGCGCGAAAATTGGACACGCGAAGACCCTAAACGGACCTAGCATGAGTTGACACTTAGACATAACCATTAAGTCACCAATTCTCTCCACTTTCATTACAATACCTG